GCGGATAGAGAACTGTTAGTTCTATCTTCATATTCAATAGCACGCTTATCCGATTAAAAACGCCTTAGAAATACGCAAAATACTAAGAAACTTTGTGCAAGTGGCCGGAATTACCCCATCTGACTCTACCTGTTTCAGTTCATTTATTTTATACAAAAATTATATGTAATATGTATGTAAATGTCAATATTAAAAAAGAGGCGAAGAAACTGTATGTTTGAAAAGCAATTTAATAGAGTCTTGGATGTGATAAAAGTATTCTTTGACTTAAGCAAAAACAGTCTTAAAAGTTACCTCAAAACTGTTAACAATGTGTATTCCAAAATGTGGGTAACAGGATAGGACGGAAATTTTTTCGACCCTGTAAGCTGTGCCGAGAGGACGGTCCTGTCCTGTCTGTCGGAACGAACAAAATTTTCTTCGGTATTTCAACGTAAAAGATAATGAAAGTCACCTTCACCTAGCTGAGTCAGCTCTGTTTTGACCGGCGAAATCTATTTATAAGTGGGACAATTATTAAGGAATAACTAATAATATTTATTTTGCCAATTCAATGAGTAGAACGAAGCAGCCACAGAATTTACTGTCTATTTCAATAAAATGTCTTTCGAAAGTAACTTTGAATCTACCCAGATTATTCTTGCCCGGTCGGAACCGACAGGTTCCTTTTATGTTCGGGCGTGTTCCTTGCAACCGGATTCCGACTGACTGTTCCTGAGGTGGGTTTCATTCTGTTTCCGACCGGTTCCAGTCGAAAAAGTCCTAGGAATCTGGTAGTAGGAACACGCCGGAACATAAGGGAAACGACCGGAACGACGATGGAATACAACGAAACCGATCGGTTCCGGCGGTCGGAATGATCGACCTGGGTGTTTCTTCTGCAACCCACTCATTTTTTTCTGCTAATTCTGTTGTCTCTTCTCTTCGTGCACTTTAAGTTTTCTGTTTCTGAATTTCTTTTATGAGTCATCTTTTTCAAGGAAGAGAAAAGTACAAGACAGTAGAGAATGACGGTAAGAAGGTTTTTTACCTTTGTTCATCATGTCGACCTCGTCGAGGAGCGCGGTACTTGTGAATCTCTACAAGACAGTACACAGGACTGAAAAAAGTGTCCTATGTCGGCCGGTCACTGGTATATTCTGTTACATGCTAACAGTCTTTTCATAGATGATAGTTAAAACAATACCTAGCATCCTTTTTTTATTCCACAAGAAGAACAATTAACTTTGCAGTTAAAAATGTAAATAACTTTTGTTTCGCTGACTTTACTACTATATATCTTACATTGTTTTGTCATAGAAAACGTAGAGTTTTCTTCTTCTTTGACTATACAAGTCATCGAAACTTATGTCGAAGAAGTAGCTACTGGTTCTATGTATCTTGCCACTAATGGCACCGAATATACCTAGGGAACCATAGCATTTTGTGGACTGCTAGTAGATACTGAATACACAATAAATTACACCATTTTCAACGTCTATGGCTGTTTTAAATAAAAGTTAGTGTGTTGAATAGCTCATAAAATGTTACCTATGAGACGACCATTTTCTTTAAAAGTATATTAAATGATTATCCTAGAATAAATAAGAAAAACTTTTCTTTAACGCTGTGCCCCTCATCGTTATGACTTGCCAAGTATTATCTATTCATTAATGCCACAAAACAGCGAAAAGAAAAAATTAACTAACATATCATGTGTATTTTCTTAGGTTATCGACTGCACTCTACAACGCTAATAATATGACTGTTTCCTTTCCGAACACTATTGAGACTTAATTACTGTGTCGCGTTATATGTGGACAAGCCGTCTATCAAGCAAAGATATATACAGGTTAACGGAAACTGACATTTAATAAGTGATCCATAGCCTGTTAACAATCTGGCAAACTTTGATGATAATTCTAAAATTAGTCATGGAAAGAAAGTGTGAGTAGATGACTCATACGTTCATTATATTGTCCTTTAGACTAAAATTTAAAATCACTGACTAACGGCGACATCAATAGTATCGATTACCAACGGTAATCGATTATGAAGGAAAGTTTTCATTTTTCTGTCATTATATCTTTATCTGTTCAACATTCGTTAAATTTCTTCCTCATCCCACTACACTTCTTTTAATGCAAAATGTATATATAACGCAAAACTAGAATAGTGATGATTACGTGGATTTGAGCTTCTTTATTTTTTCTGTTCATGATAAGCTGTCTTTTTATTTCTTTTTTCACTCATTGACAAAACTGACTTAAGTAGATCTATGCTAAAATTCTTCTTTTTTGTCCTATAACTTCCTGTTTTTGTTTGTTAGATGGATGTTTTATTAGGGGATTCGAACAGATATAACATCCCCCAGAACCATTTTGAACAATCATACATCACAAACTGTACCGATGGTAAAGAATTAGAAAGAATTTATAAAGTTTTAAAGTATGTATGCGTGTTTGTTTTCTTATTCATTTATTTATCAGAGCGAAAATGATATTCTCAAGATTTCTGTATTTTTCCTTTTTCTAGGAGTAAAGATGAACGGAAATTTCAACAACTGGAAGATTTGATACTTGCACGAATAGAAAAAGTCGAGCCGCATAGGTAACTGCGGTGTTTTAAACATAATAACCATTTTTCATTCATTGCACGTTGTAGTGTTTGAGACCGAGTTAACACCACGTGTTTTTTGTTCTTTATGTCAGTTTTTGAGAATGTTGTATGTATTTTTTGTTTTAGCACTTTACTGTGTGATGAAAAATCGCCTTTAAATACTTCATTTTCGCCCGAAGAGGAACTGAAAAATGTTGATAATTCGTTAAACACAATGAGTCGTCGTAAAAAAGAGACGTTGCTTCGCTATCCAAATAGAACTTCGACTCAGACACAGGTAACATTTTAATCACGTATTTTGCGCAACCACGCAATCTAACTTTATTATTATTCGTTTTTTTCTACATCTTAGAACAAATCAGATGATATCGAGAAACAAACGGCAAAGAAAAATAATGTTCTGCTTGGTAGTTATAATGAATCGAGAAAGTAAGTCAAGAAAGCAGAGGCGGCGGAATGGTTCTGAAAACTATGGGTGCTCAAGCAGAAGAATGCAGAGAAAAAATAAGTTTCTGCTAGAAGAAAACAAAAATTTTCCAAATGTATGTGTAGGCACCCACGGCCTCCATGGTTTCGCCGCACCTGCAAGAAAGATTTGAACAAAGGAAAAATGTTATTTATTTATTTATTTTTCTGAGACTTGACAAGCGACTAGAATTTGACTGTGATACTGACGAAAATGATAATAGCAAGACAAGTTCAACACTTCAAAATAGATTAATGATGTCCAACCATGTATTGTCTACCACCGAGCAACATATCAGTAATGTTCTGAAGATTTATACATAAACAATGATAGATTCTGGTGCTTTTCTTAATTATAGATTTAAATGAAGGACAAACATCGGCTGAAGAGTGGCGTATACTAGGAAATACGGCTTATAGTAAAAATCAGTATCAGCTAGCATATGAGTATTACACAAATAGCTTAAAATTTGACAAAAAAAATCCATCATTACATAATAATCGTGCTATGGCTAGTAAGTATTTATTTTTCTGTAATTATCTTTTCTTCAACGGGTATCAAGTCAGTATTGTGGTAGTCTTATGATTAGAAATTACCACTAATAAGTAATACGAGAACGAATAGTGTTCGTTCTAGCTTGCTAACATGCGATAAGTATAGCTCATGCGAAATGCGCGAAAGCTCATGTTTGTATTTTTTATGAACACATTTTCTCTGACTAAAAGTCCTTCTATAGTGTCATCTTTTGTTTAAGGCTTAAAATTGAATGACTACGATGGATGTATTACTGATTGTAATGAAGTTTTATGCATTGAGACGCAAAATATTAAAGGTAAAAACAAGATGCAAAATAATTGCTTTTATTTGGATTGTGTTTTGATTTTTTTCCGCAGGCTTGTATCGCCGAGCAAAGGCATTTTTTGGGAAAAAAATGTACAATGAAGCAATCAACGATCTTGAGAGGTTACTGTTTTTTGATTCGAAGAATAATGAAGCAAAAGTATGTCAACACAATAAATCCATCATAAAGTATATATAATCTTGACTTTCTTACGTAGCTATTATTGACTATTATAACAACAAAACAAAATGAAGATATAAATGTACAACAACAAGATGGTAAACGTCCTGAAATAATTGATGACGATGTCGAGATTCTCTCGGAGGTATATGTTAGTAAGCCCCTTTTTTTCTCATAATGATCAACCGAAGTTTGTTATAGAAGACTAATACATCTGGAGGAAAATGCAAAATCACAGCTGTGAAGAGTGATGATGATATTGTGAAGATTGGCCCAGATGGAAAAATTATGCCGAACACTAATCATGATAAGACTACGCCAATTATGTAATTATGCTCTATGTTTTTTTTTATATTTCTGAATTCATGTCAATTTTTTTTTTAGTTATTCAAATAATCAACAACTATACACTGAATCTCTCGCGGATGATGATAGTACTCCCTTACGGTATCTGACCGATAATAAAGATTCGTTCAACAAGAAGTCAAACTCACAAAAAAGGTATACTTGCGGAAATGGAGTCGAAGCGGATAACGAAGGAGAAGATGATGATAATAATAGTCTCAATTCTGATGGTCTTGGTGAAAATTCAAGATCACCTCGGAGTATGAATGTCTCACCAATAACAACACCACGAGACCAAATTGATCAAAGTGTTCTGCTATTTTCTCAAATCCCAGACGACAATAATAATGAATCATCATTTGAAGACCGTGTATATAATCCAACAGTAATAATGTCACATTCAAAGCAAAATGAAAATCATCCAAATATTTATGACGATGAACGACAAACAACTCCGAAAATTAATCCGAGCAGATGGAACGTAAGAAAAAAGTTTCTTTGAATCTGTTTGCATAGAGTCACAATATCAACCATCTCTTGCGAAAGCCAATAGTCCCATTAGAAGATAAATATTTTTTTCGATTAAAATAATCCGAATAAACAGATTTCTTGACTAGTCCGAAGTATTTTTTGATTCTGTCTCATTTTGTTAGTTCTCAAGTCAATATACAAATTTGGTCCTATTGGTTAATTTTTCAATTGGTATAACGAAATTTATCCGAACAACAGAATGGAGTCTTTTTTTTCGTCGACAGTTTGTGCGCATTGGAGATTTTTTGGTATGAATAGTTTGACGTTAGCTACTATCACATTATGTTATTTTACAGAAAAAACGTTCTAATCTATATAAAAAAAGTGAAATAGATTAGTACTGATTTTATGTGAAAATTTTTCTCACTCGCGATTACCTTTTTGAACGATTAAACGTTTATAGGATGTAGAGTAGTTACTATTTTAATAATTAATTACTTTATTTATTTCGTTTCAGAATACATTTATAACAGTGAGTTCAGCGGATGCCCCAAATGATAATGACGATTTTGATGATAATAGCGGTAGTAATGACGGATCGACAATTTCGTTTAATGATGCTATATCAAAATCAAATTTTAGTCCGCAAATACAACATTGGTTGAGAGAAACAGCGTATGGTGTCGATTATTTACACTCACTTGAAATAGAACGATATAAGACACCATGGTCACGTGAAAAAATGCCATGGAATCTTGATCAATTTGAACGTTATATAAAAAATTCTTATCGTCAAGGCAATTATAAAAATACAATTGAAGCATGCAAAAAAATGTTAAAAAATGGCCTGTTAGATTATCATTGTCATGTGGAACATATAATCGAAATTTTATGGAAATGTGCCGATTCTTATGCAAAATTAAATGATCATCAGCATTCAATACAATTTACTAGTGAAACGTTACAGTTTAACATTATTCATGGAGAATCGCTCATGTGTCGAGCAAAAGCATTTCAAAATGAAAACTTGTGAGTAGTAAAGATTATAATAAATTACTGAGAGTATATTTCTTTCTATTCTTACAGTCTAATTTATGCCTATTTGGATTATTCTAAAATCCAATCAGCTGATCCAAACTATCAATTAGCGTCAAATTTTCGTAAAACGTAAGTTATCTTTTGACCTTAAATATTTGTTTATGCGTAAAAACGAAAGTTATTAAGAATAAGATTTAACTAACCAGAGATTAACTGGTGATACTAAACTAGAAAACGATTTGTTCGTAATCACTTATATGCACTTAACACTACACTAACAAGGGAACGTTTACAGGTGTCAAATCGTTTTTCCTATGGAAACCACATGACTATAGGTAATCCTGACAATGCTATTATTCCTTCTCTGCACTCACTTTCTTCAGCAATGATAGATTTTAAAAGTATAATAGCGTTGTTGGGACTAGGCATGCACTGAACTCTGTTACGTTGTCACAAAGATTGCATATTTTCGACTTTTTTTAATTTGATAAAATCCAGCACTAGTTTTTCGAATAGAGCAGATAAAACTGGTTATGTCTAACACAAAAGTTCAGGGACTTTTAATATCGAAAATATGCAATCTTTGCGACAACGTTCAGTGCATGTCTACTTAGGGCATGTCTGATAGTCCTAAAAATTGATTCCGATAGATAACTCGATATGCTCTACAATTCAAATAGCTCAAAAATTAATTTTGTGAAAAAAAATTTGACTTTGGAAAACCGGTTTCTCTTTGTTGTTTTAGAGTGAAAACAGCGTTGAATGAAAAGGAGCCAATGTGGAAAGAGAAATGTGTTACTTCAATTAATGATCTATTTATATCATATATGCAAGAAAAATACAACTTTCCATCAACAACGAATGAACAATACGAGTGGTATAAAACACATGGAAACACATTGTATATGGATGCATGTTATGTACTTGCAGTAAGATTTTATGATAAATGTATAGAATTAATCAAAGAAAAACAAATAGCTTATGGAAATCGTGGTGCTTGTTTTCTCAAATTATATGAAGTAAGATTTTTTATTTCATCATAGCATCTATTTTTCCATATCACATAACTGAATATGAGATGATATGAATATAAGCTGCATTCTCATGCAATATTCATCACTTTTAATATCTTGTCTTTAAAGCTACTCTTTTTCACCGATTTTATACATCTTTTATTTTCGTTTTCTCTTTTAGCCACGAAAAGCAATCGATGATTTTGATGTTGTATTAAATCACGATAGTCGAAATATACGAGCATTATATCGAAAAGCGTGTGCATATAAAATGTTAAATAAAGATGATCTATATTTATTGACATTAAACGAATATTTGAAAATAAATCCCACAAATCAATTGATTTTAAATGAATATTTTAAAAGTATACACAAAAAAGTACCAAGATATCTAAGAAGAATAAGAGCAGCATTTAAAAATCCTGACGCGGATCAATCACAATCGCAACAGCTACTGTCAACATCAACATTAACAACACAAAAGAATCGTAAAAGTCATAAAAAAAAATTTTTAACATTTGATGAAATTGAATCTCTTCGGAAAAGTGTTGACACAATGAAATGGTATGAATTTTCACAACAAATTAATACGATCAAACCATCTGATATGAGAAATTATTCAAAATTATTATTTCATTTAAAACCAGAAATAATCAACCAACAAATTGAAAATATGTCACCAAAATTATTAAAAATGATTCTTAAATATTTTTATCAATTTATTCATGCTGAAAAACAACAACAACAAAATACTAGCACATATTCATACGGTGAATATTGTTTCAATATACTTTACGCATTATTATCCGTAAAACAGTTTGATTTATCCGTATCTATGCTCGACGATGAATCTAAACGATATGTAAATCAATTATTTTCTTATTTTACAACAACAATAACAACAGTTGATGGTATAAAATTGAGTAAATTGAAAGAAGGATTTACTCTAATTTAAGAAAACGTTTTTTTATCTACTCATACATATGTTCTGTTTAAAGCATTAAAGATAGCTCCCTTTTTGAAGTTCTGTTGATCGAAATACCTTCACTTTTTCAGCATAATTAGATCTCAATCAGTTGTAAAATAGATCTGCGTGAGGTATCTTCTAAAAATCTGTCGTTTTGATTTTATAAAAGTGCTCTCGAGAAAATGCTATTTCTTGAGCAGAGTCAACCAAAAGAACTTAACTTTTTGAACTAAAATTTTTACCAAAAATACAACAATCATAATACTAGATACCTTTATTGAGATGTGATATTTTTAAAACAATAAAAGTAGCTTCCATGTTATGGTTGTTCTTCTTCTAATCCTATATGTCAACCCTATCGGTCAAATTTTTATGAATGAAACACTGCCTTAAATGTTTCTCTCAACTGGAAAAACGAATTTTCAATGTGAGAGATAAGAATTAGAGCTAGTTTCGATAACGTTGATCACTGGCGAAAGTAAAGGCACTGAGAGTCACTTACACGAGTTTCATTAAATCTTTCACTTGCACCGATCAATGTGATACCAAAATTTTTCGCCAATTTCTTTTCCAATTCATCGATCATTTTTGCCAAAGCTAGAATTGGCTTTGATGCACACTTCAGTGTATCTACCTGCGTCATTGAAAATGAGCTTTCGTTTGTAAACTGTGACTAATTAATTCTCTTTAAAAAAGACACATGAAACTCAATTTCAAAAAAATAGTTTTGATCTGATTTACGGAAAGATGAATGCCTTTTCAACTTTTATTTGTGAAATCTGAATTTTTAGTACCCTTTTTTTATATTGATAAACAAGATTTATGTATGCGTGTGTACTACGTTGTCTTTCAAAATTTTTTACGCATGTGATCTCTTTTATTCTTTTTATATTCGCACGTTATATAACTGTGATGTTTCTTTGTTTTCATATTCCAAATAGAAAAACAAACTTCTGGAAAAAAATCAACAATATTTAAATCCTGTTTCTTTTATTTATTGATGTCTTCGGATCGAAACACAATATTGTAAAAATTGTTGGAAGACTACTCGACGGAAACGTAATACGTTCCATCTTAACGTTTGAGTAATCATCTATACTGTTGTTATATACATGTTACGAGAAAATCTTACATTATTCTAGTTGGACGCAATAGATAATTCTGAGCATCTAAAACATGTTATCTGATCTTTATTTTGCAAGGTATATATGAGTTTCATTAAATCTTTCACTTGCACCGATCAATGTGATACCAAAATTTTTCGCCAATTTCTTTTCCAATTCATCGATCATTTTTGCCAAAGCTAGAATTGGCCTTGATGCATATTGAAATCCACAATTCTAAAAAATAACTAGTATGAAAGATATGTGGTAAAATATACTTGATCTTTTACTCGAATTCGAGTTTGTATCGGTCGATTTTCTGGTTCAAGAATACGTGCTTGCTGTATCATATTCAATAATAACGGGTATAAATCAGCTGAAAAGTATATGCAGAATTATTTTTAACAGAGTGCAAAGAAATATCAATTTTTTTCTTACCAATCATGTTCTCTTTTTTTCCGACATTCAGTTTAGTTGTAATACCAACCAATTTTGCAATATTTCCAGCTGACAAATAAGCATTAATCTCTAAATGATACAAAATACTTAAATATCGTCGATTATTTGTATATATTGTCTTTAATCATACCTCTCAATTCATTTTCACTAATTGTTTGTAATTCTTGCTTTATCCTTTCTTCTATCTCACGCGCATAACGTTCAACATTATTAATGGATTTCGTATATTGAAGATCAAGATCAACAGCAATAGCGTATAAATTGAAACCAAAATCTAACAAGTCCTTTTGACGATCAGTTGCTTGTAATATGGATAATGTCCTATAAAGAAACATTAATCTACACAAAGTCGGTGACAAAACTCAATAAGATAACATTTACCACTTAATTAATTCATCATAATCTCCACAATGTTCCAATGTCACTCGAATTGCATCATCGATAGATCGATAAAATTCATTTAATGGTGATATGAATCCACCACTAACCAAATGATTATGCAATTTTTGTAATTTAGCTTTGTATTCATTTGTGTTGAACATTTGTTTTAGTGCTATTACAAACGAATTGTTAAAGACATCATCCATTTTTGTATCTGATCTCAATGATTTTTGTTTCAATTGTTTTTTCGGTGAAGGTGCACGACCATTTGATTTCGTGAATACGGCCTCATGTTCATCAGTTGATTTTCGAGTGGAATTTCTTGATGCTGTCAAAACAGTGATCGGAGCTTTTGGCGAAGACGAAATTTGTTTGACTCCAATGATCGGACCGATAACACTGCTTGCAGCAGAAACAGGTTGTTGTGTATTCAACTCTGTTGGAAAATAATCTCTTTGTTGTTTTACACCGAAACCATCTATGGTACGCAATTTTCGGTGAATCCTTTTATGTTCGAAATCTATTCCCTCTTTGTATTCAATGATACTACTCAAAGTTAGTTCTTTAACATCTTTTGGTAGTGACACTTCTGGAATTTTAATCGACGTTACGGCACTATAGGATTGCATTGAAAAATCAAATGTTCGACCATTTTGAACTTGACCTGTAAGTTAGTGGAAAATTATAGTTTTATCTAATGCAGAAAGAGAACTCTTATTATAATGATAATAGTAGCCATATAACAGCCTGAAATATGACATGGTGTTAAACGAAAGCTGATTGATCTTCTACTTGTATTGGCATCTTAAATGCAGTTAAGAATGACATTTTTTTGTCGAACGTCTTCAAGGTAGTTTATTTTATTGTTCTAGTACTGGAAGTTTCATTGGAAGAATCCGAGAAGACTTAATGATCAACTAACCTAGTTGAGCATATTGAGGTTTAACATCTATAGCTCCAGTTAACAGCATTTCTTCTTTCACAATAATTGACGATGGTAAACGCGTGATAACATGTCCCTTTTTCAACACATCTCGTTGCTTCAAAAATTCTTCTTCATATTGTTTTACGTCAATAATTTTTTCATCAATAGCTTGTTCCGTAATTTTTTCACTTTCATATTTAGGTAATTGGGATGTTTCAATCGTAGTCTTTATCAGCTGGTCTTGAATTTCACTAACTTTTTGTCCATCTGATGTGACGATTTCTTTGAATTTTGTTGGGCTAATTGATTGCTCTTCTGTCGGTAAAACAACAATAAGTTTTTTCGAAGAGATTCTACTTGGCTTAATAGCAGTCTGTGTTGGAGCAAGAGTAATTGCAGCTGTTGATAATGGTTTTGATGAGAGTATTTTCTTGACATTAACTCGTTTTGATGACGAGGGTCGTCTGGGTGTAGTTTTTTGTTTTCCTTTTGACGATGGAGCTACCTTTGCCTGTAGAAGTGGTTTGATATACCATTTTCTGACACGATCTGGCAGAAGTACCTCTGCTTTTGATAAAAGGTTGACTAATTCTTCTGTTATAGTTTTATTCTCGGTGATTAATACTTGTAGTGCTGATAATATTGCATTTGTCTTCTTTTTATTTGTATCAATTTTCGATTTTGGATCTTGTCTAATGTATTTATTTCGAATAAATTGTCGAAATAATTTATCTGGCAGTTCTTTATTTCTTTTTAGTTGATGTTTCGTTTTTCTCAATACCAATTTACGATTAAAGTAGTCGGTACCACGCATAATATTGTTCAACAATTGTCTAACATGATCATTGTAAAACGTACCTTTAACTGTTGTTAAATCTATATCATCTACTAACGTTTGTTGAATGACATTTTTAAATGCTTCATTGAGAAAGAAAGCTTTAAAATTGTCCAAATATTCATTCATTTGCTCTTTTGTTGCATCGTCATTCAGTATCGTTTTCATTATGTTATACAATTCAGCTCCTTTAGCCAACTCTTTAATATCATCATCTTTCATATTTTGTGTTTCTATAAAATAGGAGATGCCCAACTGACTATAAATTTGTTCTAATGTTGTGAACATCGGGAGTGTTGATTGCCGTTGTAAATACATGTCAACGTTTTCAAACATATTTGTTAAATTGCTAACATGTTCACTATCAACATTAGTTGAATTGATGCTCTCAATTATGGCTTGTAAGCCATCTGTAGCAATCTTTTTGGTTAAACCAATCGTAACTGTTTGCACAACATTAACAGTATGAGACTGACGTTTCAGAATATCTGTTAAAATATGAACGAATATTGACGTATTCTGATCAATTGTTCAAACTCTTTCCTAGTTGTTACCTTGTTGACACAATTTTTCATAGAAAATGTTGGCCTCGTTCTCATCCATTTGTTGCATAGCTAAAAATATTTGTTGTTCCATACAGATTAAATCATTGTCGGTTAATTTTACTTTTAAACTTTGTTCAATTTTATCTAAATAGGTAAGTAATTTTTTTCCAATATCTGATTTCATTGATTCAAATAACTTTTTTACACCATCCAAATGATATTTTTTAAAAATTATATTTATATGTTCAGTTAAAAATTCCAAATAATTGTCACGAGTTGGGATAGAATGTTCATCTAATGGATTAATAATTTGACTTAGACCGATAAAATCTCTTGTTATTTCACTTAAATCTCTTTCATATAAACGTTCAATTTTATTACGCATAAATATATTGAAAATCTGTTGTTCTTGTTCATTTATTTCACCAAATTTTTCATCAAAACTAATTTTCGATTCACGCTTTGTTTTGTTTGTTTTCTCATTAAATGTATTCAATAGCTCTTCGGCTAAACGATAAGTACGATTATTTTTAGCCAGTACAGTTAGAACAGTTTCTAACGATGCGATATTTGTTCGCATTGCCACTTGTTCAAGAGCACCTTGAATTTCTTCTAATGCTTGAACAACTTTCGGTATACCACCGTATCGTTGAATCTAAAAACATATGACATAACAATAATCTTCTTAGGCAGTTAATATCAAACATTATCGTCAAACTATACTGACCAGATTCATTTGTATCAATTCACTATGTACATTTAGAACATCGTTCTTTTCACTATTCTGTATAATATTCATCAGATCAACAATCAATTTAATATCTGTTTCATTCAATGATCGTCCTGTATTGGCTCGTATCTCTTCAATAATCTCCTCTAATGACAAAGCATCTTCAGAATAGTATCCTTCAACTAACATATCTGTCTTCTTTTGTCGTTCCTTTCTTTTACTTATCAATGTATTTATTGTTGATTTTCTTTTTACTGCTTCAATTTCATCATCATCTTCATAATCCAAATACCCTTTCAGATCTTCAATTGTCTTCACTTTTACTTCTTGCAATAAATCCATCAATAATTCATCGGGTAAATCAAAGGTTTTTGCTAGAATTTCTTTATTTTCTTTTTGTAAAAAGTTATTTGTACCTAGACGTTGTCGAACAATTGAGTTCGGAATCATTATGTCAGGCCCTAAAAGACATGTTCGCTTTTGGAATTGCTTTTCTTCATCGGTAAACTCATTTTTCCAACCACGCATTACATAGTCTGGTGGTGGATTATCAACAATGTTCAAATCTAAATATTTTTTAACCGTTCCCTCATATCCGAACATTAGTTCAATTTAGAATATGGCAAAAAAACAAAACATGTCATTGTTGTCAAAGTCAAATAGGAAAAGTAGACAGTATACGCGACATAATGAAATCTCATTAGTAACTGAATTGTGATCTTTCTTCGTGATCAATTTACTAATGTTCATGTACATTAGTTTCTTTTGTTAATTATAAAGTTTTTCAACAATATCAAAAAATTCTATACTCCTTACTTATTTTAATACATACACATACAAACATCATGTTTGGTCGTTCATTATTTCAATACAATAACAAATATACAACGTATGTCTTCTTGTACAAAATCAATATGTCACGAAAACAGTGATAATACTATCTACTAACGAAGTATATAGCACCGGTAATGAGAAAGAAAAACTCATCATAAATTCAAAACTGTGTTACATAGCACAAGCTTAATTATCAATAATTTCAATTAAAGGTTATAACGATGTTTTTTTCGACTACGAATCATTTCTGCTAACGTTGTAAATGCATCTGTCAGACCGTCACCTGTTAGCGCACAAGCCGGTATAATATAATAAGAGTTCTCTGGCCAAGATAGTAAATTTAATTTTTCGGCAATTTCAGATGGTTTAAGTGCATCATCGTGATCTTGTTTATTCGCTATCACAACTAATGGGGCATTTTTAATTAGATCATGTTGATAGATTCCTTCTAATTCTGCTTTAGCTAGATGTAAACGTCTTTTGTCTGTAGAATCGATAACAAATACTAGTCCATCAACATTTTCAAAATAATGATGCCATCTACAAATAATAAAAATTGAAATGACGTCATGAATTGAACAAAAACAATTACACTATACGAACAATGTTCTCAGATGATCTTGTCCACCAACATCCCAGACAGTCAATGTGATATTTCGAACAGGTGAAATTGTTTCAACATTAAATCCTATTAACAAAAAAGGATGAAGATAAAGAATATTTTAATAATTATTATTGTCTTACCAATTGTAGGTACTGTGTGAAAATCATCAGTTTTCTTCATTCGATATAAAATAGTAGTTTTTCCTAAAATAAAATTAGAAATAGATTATCATCTCTATTCGTTACATTGTACAAGATCGTTTATGAGACAATATAAGATAAATAAATTCAAAAAGACTAATATAACAGCTGAGCGAATTTGAGTCACATTTTATTTTTATTCATATTTGATTCGCACTTGAAATGAAAGACTGGTGAAGAAAGAATGTTGTTATGTAATGATTTTTTGGGTCCAGGTGTATTTCTCTAGACAATAATCTTTCTAGGAAAAAAATAGTCGAATTTTTAGTTTAAGAAAATGTGTTGAATCATACTCGAGGCTCTGTAAAAAGGAAGAACACGTCCACCCTTGGATAGCAGTAAAAACGAAATAATAACGAAGGTCATCCAGGGCAAAGTTTGGTAGTGTATGGAAAAGTAGTTAGCATAAAGTTTCATTTTCAATATATAGCAATACAAACTGTATTTACATGAACAAATTTATCTTATGTATTTATATTAAGGAAATCCAGGAAGAAAAGAGATGTTGAAGACTACTGAGTGTTATATTTTGTTTAATGTAAAATACAATACGTCATATCAATCCCTATTCTTTCAAATTTTAATAAGAAATCTATAAATTCTTAATGATATAAATACATCGACTACTTCCTGCTGTTAATAATAATAATGTCTTTTGAGTACAATAAAACAAATGAACTTTTATTCTGAAAAAAACTCTTTCAATATTTGTAGATGATACTTCAGTAATAGCAGTTAACTATGATATTGACCTGAGTTATTAAATGTAAATTGGGGTAGCATAACTTGAACTCTAGCCTCAATCACGTCTCAATTTAAGCCGTAAAATTAAAGTAATTACGCACGCGCAGAGATCGCGAACAGTGAAATGTTGTTAAGATCTTACTTATTATAGTATGAATAGACTTTGCGTGTTACTTTTGAGCTTAAACGAAGATTCATATATATCGGAGAAGAAAATAACTGTTTGTAAGAACCCGTCGTGTATGAATAGCGCACCAGTATGCAGAACAATTATTACTTGAAAAAAATGGCTATATTCTTTTCAAAATTTTAGACTAATTTTAGTGGTTCTAGAGTGACAAAAATTCAATTGAGGCATCCCGAGAAAAATTGAAGACAGAAGCCGATAAATATATTAATGAGGCATTACGGAGTTTCAGAAATCATAAATATTTGTTCACACGTGAAAAAAATTATAAGACGCTTTAGATATTAATAAAATGGTTCCTTAACCAAACGTTTCTAAGCCAAAATAGATATATTACTCTCTAAAAAAATCCTTAGCTTACAAAACGACTATCAGTTTTGACATTTGCTCCTAGTAGAAACCGATATCCGTATCGTACAGTTCTGCTTAACCGTTTCGCAGAATACACTTGAACGTTTTTTGCCTTGTGAACAAACGGATTTAGGTTTTGTACCAGAGAAACAACGTTCAAGCATATTCTGTGAAACGGTTAAGCAGGACTGTACGATACGGATATCAGTTTCTATTAGGGACAATATCAAAACTGATATTCGCTTTGTAAGCTACGGATTTTGTTTAGAGATTAGTTGACTCTATATCATGTTTCAAACAAAAATGTTAACAAAAAAAATGTGATATTACCTGCATTATCTAGTCCGAGCATTAATATTCTTTTTGGACCATCAGCCGATAATTTTTTCATTACTTTTGACAACATACGACCCATTCTTTTTTTTCTTCTATTAGTTTGATCTAATAATAATGTGTATAGATGGCATGCATAAAAATATTCGCAAAGTATAATTTTATTTTAAAGATGAAACAGCTGTTACAATTACTCAAATAGTCTTTTTCTTTTATTTCTCCTCAGTCACTAAAAATTTCTTTAGAATTATTCGCACTATAAGTATTTGTTAAAAATCAGGTAATAACGTATACCTCAACCTATGAATGGATATATGCACTACAATAATATATCGACAAAGAAAAAGAGGAGAAACAAAATTGACTTTTTCGTTTTTCGTTGTTGTACGTACTTGAATACAAACATCTATATATATATATATATATATATCACATCTAAATAGATTTTTATTAAACACCTTTTACAGGTAAAATAACACATAAAAATGAATATGAATGATTCGTAATTATGGTATGATATCGGGAAATTCTGAAATAGAGGAATATGTATGACTTACTTTTTACTTTTTGTTTTTGTTTTTCATATAAAAACCTGTTGATATTTTGACATTTTGTCGCGCTTACTCAATACATTCTGAATTTTTTTTGTATATTATTATTTCAACCTACACACAACTGTAATCCACTGTTCTATTTTATTCTGTACGTAAAGAGAAACACACTAGTGAAAGAGGAAAAAATTAAATTTTTACTTTGTTTCCTTCTCTTTTAACTTTAAAAAAATACAAAAAATGAGAAAGAACAAGAATATCAAAGTTCACAGCCAAAGAACGATGCTATAACTGATTTTTTTTCTTTTATGTAATATCACTTGTCTTCTAAAAGTAATGTCGACATACCTTTGAAGAATATATAGTAATAAGAGTTAGTCACAAATTATGTAAGCCAAATCAATAAATGCAACGTCAGATTCTTTCAGGATAAATTTAAAAAATATTGAGTGATAGAAAAATCACATGTGTGAACTTAGATAGACATTGTAAAATCATTCAAACAGAGATTCTAACGACGGAACCACTTCAGGTGCCCAATGCCGATTTCAATGATCTTTTGCTAATAGATACTGTACAGTGTCCTAGTAAAAAGACCAAAAAGGACTTAGGTTCTTCTTGCTTCCTGCAAAAGTTATTGAATTTTTTTTGAGTTTTTCCTGCAGAGCCTTAATAGACTCAATATTTTAGTTTCATAAAGTTTTCTTTCCTTTCGTATGTATTCAAAATTTTTTCTTATACATAATCTGGTAGAAGAAAAGCTTCTTTTCAAAATGAGACGTCTCCCAGAATTTTCTGATGAGTTTTGATGGAGATATAAGCATCACCAGATTCAGCAGAGAAAATGGAGTACATGTTGAAATTCTGGTGTAGTCTGGATCAGTTTGACTTAGTTTTTCGTGAAAATACCTAAAAATGGATTTTTTCAGATAGAATCTTAGGACTTGTGTAGTTTTGTGGAGTGAAGTCCAGTGGTTCGAACCACTCTCTTAGATGTCAAAATCCGTCTTTTTTCGGGGTACGAGGATCTTCGAGATCTTCACTCAAAATTCACACCATAGTAGACCTTTTGGGAGAACTTTGTTTTATCATAGTGAGGCATCCTCCGGTTTTTACTACAGAATGGTTGAAACCGCAGAGTTTCATCACTTGTCTATCAAAAGCCATTCAAGAAACGCTGTGCTCCATTCGATTTTGAATTGATAGTAATTTAGCTTACAATGAGAATTATAATGTTTTAAAAATGCACACCTAATCACACCTAAAAAAAATGCCCTGTGTACAAAATACGTTTTTTTGTTTTTTTAAATTTTTTTTGCTTATATCTCCACCAAAACTCATCGGAAAAAATTTTGAGAGACGTCTCATTCTGAAGAGAAGGCTTTCATCTATCATACATAGAAAAGGAAAGAAAACTTTATGAAACTAAAATATTGAGTCTTTTAAGGTTTCGAAAGAAAACAAAAAAATTCAATAATTTTCGCAAGAAGCAAGAAGAACCCAAATCCTTTTGGGCTTTTTACTAGGGCACTATACAGTATCTATTGGCAAAAGATCATTGAAATCGGCATTGGGCACCTGAAGTAGTTTCCTCGTAAGTGTATTTCCAAACAACTTCAACTTTCACGAAACTTTAGCACTACAACCTGATGACTAGGTAAAGAACAAATAACGGTTTCTTACGAAAATTCGTTCACCAGTATTTTTCAAATTTTTTCGCATAAAATAGGAAAACATTAGAATAGTAACTACACCCCGATCTCATTTTTTTTGTTATAAAATGATTGGGATTGATATGGCAGGGAGAGTCACGAGAAGTTGGATTACTTCACTATCACTACGCGTATCGTTATTAATCTAGTTCATAATGAAGAACACACATGGTTATAGTCAACGATACATCAATCTATAGAGAATTTAAAGTACTTTCGAAATATGTATAAAACTTATTTATTGAAGTATTTGGTAAGAAAACATTTAAAGACACACTTTGACATGGATGAAAAAACGATGTCATTGATCGAAATGTTGCTCAATTTTCGAAATGATAGAAGAATTTCCCCATTTCAACTCTTTTACCAAATGATAGTATTTCTTATCAGCTTTCAGCATATATATAGTTCCGTTTTCAAATTTGCTGCTTTTGTGTTCAAGCACTTTTCTCAAAGTTTGTATAGAATTTACTTAATACATATTCACTATATATATGCTGAAAACTGATAAGAAATACTATCATTTGGTAAAAGAGTTGAAATGGGGAAATTCTTCTATCATTTCGAAAATTGAGCAACATTTCGATCAATGACATCGTTTTTTTCATCCATGTCAAAGTGT